CATATCCTTCTAGTAGCGGACCTGAAGAAAGGGTATAAATCTGAGTCAAGAAATGACACCAGGACTGAAAATTCAGATTTGCCTGCAAATGTAAGAGTTAACTCTAAGCAAAATGCACGATTGTATTTTCTTATCTGCCAAACTTTCCCCTCTTCCCCCTCCTAAACATCACTATTCATTTTAATGTGGTTTTTTTAGTTATTCCAATTCAAGTACAGCAAGGTGTTGCATGTCTTATCCTCACACATTATATTATATATCAGTATTCCTTTAAAAGGATTTTGTTCTTTATTACTAACAGCTCAAGAAAGCCTTGAAAACAGACTTGCTTATAGTGTCCAGCCTGGAGGGATCTAAATGGGATATATTAAGTGTTATACATCCACGTCATTCAATTTTAAATTAAGCTACTTCAGCCCAGGGAGAAGTATAAAATCATAAATGAAGCACTTTCTGAAATCCAAGCTTTTGGGTTAGACAGGTCACTTCACAGACCCTTCCAAAGGCATCCCAAGGGGAGCCTGTAAGGGCTCCAAAAAGGTTTCAGGATGGTTACGGCAGCAGACGAGGCTCTGGCAGTGCATCCTCAGCATCCTTTATCTTCCCACCCACCACCAGGGCTCAGGGCCCTGCCAGGAAAGGTCCCCTTCATTCACCTCAAGCACAGTGAACCAGATTAGCCTGAAGACACTTTCATCCTACACATCAAGCTCACCAAGTTCATTTGCTCACAGTACAGTTTTGGGTGTGTTTGTGTGGCCACACTGGTGACCCAGTCATGTAGGGCTTCTGCTGGAGGGAGCCTTGTTGCTGCCAGCAACCATGGGGTGCACGGGGATGATCTGCCTGCATTGTCCTAAAACCCCACAAATGCCCTGCTCTGAACAGAGCAGACTCTGTCCTTCACCAGAGAGGGAGAAACAAATGCTGAGCTGCCCCTCAGAAGGCCATGCAGCAGAACCTGGCTTGAAACCAGCAGGTTCCTGGCCTGAATCTGACCCAGGCTCATTAGTCTTTAGCTATTTCTGTCTAGCCTGGAGCATCTCACAGATGAAGGATATTCAGAGCCCAGACAGTCTTCCACAGTGAGCATTTTGGCTCCTCAAAGCTGTAATCAGTCCAATGGGTTGCTGTTGCAACTTTTGCTGGGTTTAAAGTCAAGTATTGCAAGGACAGGTATTGGGAGCCAAAACTGCCTTCTCAGTTAAAAGTAAACAGGGTCCATTAAATTTTGTTGAGCTTTTACTTGGTGCCACCAGAACTACTAATATACTTCTTTAATACAGGAAAATTTTAATTACGACGCAATTATGTTACTCCAGAAGGCCAGCCTAATGCCACAGCACTGTCACTGGCAGAAGTGATCCAGTGCTCTGCCCATAGCCACATAGCCCCTCCTCTCTTCTGCAGCAACTACAGCAACAACTTACCCAAAACTTATTTCCAAACTGGTACACTGCACAATCACAAAGGTATCAGTGGGAGCACAAAGGAGGGCATGGTATGACATGGAGGCAAGCGTTCCTGGCTGGGATTACATCATTTGGCCCCAAAGTCAGCTTTTGCTAGCTTAGAAAAATCCTAAAAGTACAGGAAAGTCTGTGTGAAGGTGCTTCTGGTGACCCAGTTGCAGGACAGTTGAAGTTGAAAAGGTCCTCTGGATGTCATCTGGTCTCAAGCAGGGTAACTTAGGGACAACTGCTCAAGGACTAAATCTTAGACAGTTTTTGAGTGACTCCAAGGATGGAGACTCCACAACCTCTCTGGGCAGCCTGTGCCAGTGCTCGGCCACCATCACAGTGAAAAAGTGTTCCCTGATATTCAGAGGGATCCTCCTATGGTTCATGTTGTGCTTGTTGCCTCCAGCCCTTTCACTGGGCATCGCTGAGCAGAGTCTGCCTCTGTCCTCTTTGCACCCTCCCTGCAGGAGGGTGTATATATTTATATACATTGATGGGATCCCCCTGAGCCTTCTCCAGCTCTCTGAGACTTGCCTTATGAGAGGGATGCTTCAGTCTCTTCATCATCTTTGTGACCTTTCACTGGACTCTCTCCTGCAGCTTTACACTGGTGCTCTGGTAGTCTGATCCAGCTGGCTTACTGATACCGATAGCATGCTCCCTTGTCTGCCCTGGAAATCTGGAAAGAAGATGGCATGCAGGGGAGCATACATCCCTATCCAGAACAGGGGCTCTTTTGGTCAATCAGTGTGTAAAGGAGAGTCTGTCTCAGAGTCTTGTTCCTTGTGTTTGACTGACTTCTAAGGGAGCAGCTGTAACTACCAGGCACCACCTAAATGTAACATAACTCCTTCATAGACTAAAAAAAAGTTCTGTCTTTTCTGGGTAGAAAGATGTTTATCCAGAGACTCAGCATAATTTATTTTTACAGCAGGTATACCAAACCAAGACAGTTAAAAGGCTAAGTCTCCAGAGCTCTGGATGCTGTATAAATAAATGCTGAATAATTGCCTGCATTAAACTGTGGTTCAACGTTCAGCAAGGAAAATAGCTCTTGTTTTTTTTTAATTAAATTCTGATTTTATCTATAATTCTAGACTGTTCTGCTTGTCCATTTACATGAAAAGTCATCCCACTTGTTGAGTGCCAAAGCCTTATTCTGAAACTGTATGATTAACACCAGTACTTCCAAAAGCTACGTATCAGTTTTATGTTACTAACCTAAAGTCCCTTAGCCCGCAATATAAGCAAACTGAGCTAACCAGGCACACACATTCTTGCTCTGGATATGCCAATTTACAAACATTCTTCTGAATAACTGAGACCATGGTTGTGAGGACACCAGTCAGCACAGCCCAGAGCCGTGCACTCACAATGGTCCTAAACAGTTTCCTGTGCACAGCAGGATCAGGTAACACATGGAAATGCACAACTCCAACTCATTCTCAGTGCCAAGCAGATGCAGTTGAAGGCACTGTTGTCCCACTATGGGATTTCCTTCAACCTCTAGCAGAGCTGTTGAGAAGAAACCTGTGCCTCCACCTCTGCTGCTTCAGGTCACAATATAAGTTCTTGCTATAATCCCATCTTTACCAGCAATCTAATCCATTAGACTCAACTAGAAGATGCAAGACAGATGCATGCTCTCTTCTGCATGAGAGAGGGCAATTATGGTCAGTGGGACAGAGCAGCACCATTTCACCACCAGAGCTGGGCTGGAGTGGGCTGGCCCTTCAGGACAGATGTCCTCCTACACTAGGTCAAAACACAGCTGCTTGCTTTAACTACATTTTTTTTACAGGGTTTTGGACTTCACTGAGCAATGATGCTGGTTTGTCAGGAAGTTATCCACTGTGATCCCTCAGGATTTCTCTTCATGGTATTATTAGCTTAGTCTGTGACTCCAGTTTTTATTTGCAGACAATAACCATCCCTGAACAAAAGTCTCCAGCTTGAATAGCTGGCAACTCTGCTGTGAGTGCTCAGTACTATCAGGGAGAGCGATGCTGTCCTCAGGCAGCAAGGACAGGTGCATCACTGCTTAGGCCAGGATGATGCAGCAGCAGCACCTCTTTCACTGCAGAGCCACTGTCCTGCCAGCCCAGGGGTGACCGAGCCCTGCTGCTTACCTCCAACCTCCCAGACACAGACCCAAGACTTTATAACACATAAAAAAAGTACATAAAAACCCCCTTCTACTGACCTGCTTATTTTTTGTAAAATCGGAATATTGCCTATTTGCTGCAGACACTAGTCTGCTTGTTTAAAAAAAAATTATCCCATTGGCAGACAACCAATATACAAGAACATCTACAAAGAAGCTGTTACAGTTTATCGTGCAGTAATCCATGGATTAAGGTCATTAATAGCCCTCGATGACATACTGCCATGACTCCAAAGGTGCTCTTCTGGCTTACAGGCTTTACAGAACACAACCCCCTCACAAACATTTGCCCTGAGATACTGTCTTCTAAATCTTCAAAAGAAAAGAAGAAATGAGAAAAAAAAAGAAGGCAGATGCCTAGCACAATATCTTGCATTGCACTAAAAAAAAATAAAAAAGTTATAATGGAAATAGGCCATGCTGAATTTTCTTGCCTTTCAGACTGATGCTTTCACCATAGAAGAGTTGTTGGTAACTGAAATTTTGATCCTCAGAGCTAAAATAGCAAGCCAAGACATTCTCTCATGCCCAGAAGATAAAGCCATAAGTAAAACTTGCAAAATAAAATCTGAAATTCTCAATTTTACCCTTTAATTATTTATATGAAATAAGCTTTCTCCTTCTGTTGACACAAGAACACAAATCCACATCATGGAAAACACTGTGTACTCCTCAAATCCCAAGGGGTCATTAATCTTCTTTTATGCAGTCCATGAACTATTTTCACTGAATTTTTTAAAACAGTTTTCTAAAGCATGCCTGATGTCATTAGGAAGTCAGAAGAAGCTGATGTCCTAACAATATAATTGCTAAATATCCTACAAAGAAGAGAATCCCTTTGCTGTTCCTAAACTTCTGCTCATAATTGCACTATCCATACATGTAATTATCAATGCTATTAATTTACCTGAGTCTCCAATGCCAAGAGTAAGCAACCCTTTGTGTCAAATCTGAAATAATAGATAGACTTTTCTCACTTCTGCTGATCTAAAGGAAAAAATCTGCATTCTTTCCATATGATTTGTTTCTTTAGGACTCTGGGAATGGCATAGTATTGTGCCACTGTGTATTTTCTTTTACCATGAAACAATTATAATTCATAAAATGTACTCAGGAAAATACAATTGTCCTACCAGCTGCAACCAATTCTGTATCCCACAGTCACATGCAATTTTTGTAAACAACATAGTGTCATTTGAAAAAAAACAAACAAAAACCTTAGAAAGAAATCTTAAAAGGTTCAGTAAACAAACGTTATGACAAACAACATTTGTTTCAATATACATCTTACCAAGAACAATCACTCATCATTTCCTATTTTACTTTCACTACCATGTAGTAGCATTTTCACCACACATGCAGTTTCTTTTTCTTACCTTTAAGGAATCAAAGCAGGCAATAACTCTTCCATTTTCAACCTGGCAACTTTTGGGGGGGTGTGCAAATTTGCATTCTTCATCAGAGCGTGAACAAGTTCCCCTCTGAAACTGCCTGCACACTTCTAATGTCAGCCATTTTGTATCTCTTACGGGAGCAACATTCAAAGCCATGATGAGAAGCTGATTTTGAACTTGTAAGCTGCTGTCAGGTGAATTACGCTGAAGAAATTTCCAAAACTAATGACAAAGGAAAGGGGAGGGGAGGGTGGTAGGGAGGGGATCGGAAAAAAATAACTTCAATTCTAATTGAAAAGAAAGTTAAAAAAACAAACAGTGGGGGACGATTAACGACGTTCAACACACGCAAAGCAGAACAAGCAGAGAAAGTTTATCAGCAAGCAGTTACTCATCAATCATTAAGTCCCGCTTGTAGACTTTTGGCTGGGAAAACACATGCTCAGTCGCATTTCTGTCTGTAAAACACGTGGGTTTGTTGATTGTAATCACGGATGCACCGGTTTTAAGCCAAGGTCCATCAAGGCAATGGCACTCCTTGATAGAATAGCAGTCCTCTGATGGTTGCTTGCCGGTATTGATTACACGAGAAAAGCAATGCAGTCATTTGCTCATGTCCCAGGAATAATAATAATAATCCTTTTTCTGCTTTCAGTTTCCCATCAACTAATTGGCAAATGGAGACAGCTGAGGTATCTTCTGCCAGGTGTAAGGTGAAGGCAATGTCTGGCTGGCAAAGACGGGATTTTGAGAACACGGGTGTAGCAGTCCTCGCTCGTAAAAGTGACTTGGCAAAGGCACTTTTTAAGTCACTGACCTGACAAAACAAATACAGCATCAGTTCACGTGCAACTCATATAAATCAACATTATGAAACCTACAGTCCCTTTTTATCACATATTATAATAATACAGCCAAAGTTGACTCATTTTTAAAAAACAAATAAATAAATAAAATCATCCTCCTTTGTGAAGTTACACATGACAAGGGAATAACCAGTTGAGCCACGTACTGCAGTAATATTCCAGGCAGCAATCCAAAAGTTGGGAATGATTTAAATAGATGAATGTGGCAGACACAATAATTAGACACGCTAGTTGTGAAACAATTTAATCAAATGTGCTTAGTCTCCAAAACTGTATACAAGAACCCGTTTCCATTAATTTATCACTTGGCCCTTTAGATTGTGTTACTACATTATAAGTTGTTACTCATTATTTGTTCTTCCTTAGAAATGAGGATGGTAGTCAGATTTTTTATGTCTCCCTCTATTTCTCAAGAAAAGAAAACACAAAAAATGTCTTTCCAAAATTATAGGAAATAAAACCTTCCATATGCGGACAATAGAGTTAGTTTTCCCATTAACCTAGAGGCTGTTCCCTTCGTGAAAGGGCTCAACCACCAAGTCACCATGCTCCAATGAGTCCTTTCTAATATGAAGCAGTCTTTATCTAAATACTCTTTTGATTTATTTAGGCTTTGTGTACCTCTACAAATACATCCTTCAGCATCAAAACCTCAGATTCCAATATGGCACTTAAACTATCTGGGGACTGTAAAATACCTATGCTATTTTACAGAAAAACAGATCTGAAAATCAAAGGGTTAGATATTACAAAAAATTTTAACCACTAACTATATTTTATACATAGACAGTGAAACCATGAACATGATGTTTCCTTCTATTCAGCTTCAAAGGAACACAACTTTTACTTTGCAAATACCAGCCAGAAACAGTTGATGGATTATTTTTGTGCAAGCAAAAAGAAAAGAGGAAGGACTGGAACAAGTGAGATTTTAAAATATATCAATAAAAATAGTTCTGAAAGCACTGTCAGCTTTTCCATATCAGAACAGTTACCATTCTGTGCTTGGATTCATTGGCCTTACTTGAAATCAGTATAGTTAGTTAAGTGAGTAAGAATTACTCATACCCAGTTTCAGGATCAGATCCCAGTTCTGACTTCTAGGTCTTCACATGAAAAGGTTTTTCTATTACATAGCAATGCCACCAGAAGGGTTTTACTATGCGACCAATACTTACACCAAAAGTTCCTACTGCTAGCATGAATAAAAGCAATGCAATGCTAATTGCTCAAAAATTCACTTTCAAGTCCAATGTGCAAAAAGAAGGGTCTGGATGACACTTAGCTTTACTTGGTCATAAAGAACAACAAGGTGCAAGAGAATCAGTAATTTTTTAAATAATTCTATGCAATTACAGTACAGTACATAAATTACAAAATCCTCAAATATTCCATCAATGTTGTCTGACAGCATCAATGAAGAATGAGATTAAGCTGAAAGCATAGAAAAAGGTGAGAAAATACTCATAACCGATGAAAAGGAAAGAGAGGAGGAAAGACAAGAAGAGCCTCTCCACAAGGGCTTGCTGAGCTTGTTGATAGCTTGTTGGGCTGATGATTTAGCTGGCTAAATGTAAAAGAGGAAATACTCTCCCTGGAGCCACACATTCCAATTCAGAAATGTCAGTAACGGTTTTCAGTAATAGCTGTAGGAGACAGACGGAAATTTTGGGAAAAGGGTAAATGTTGTACCGCACACTGCTGAAAGTCACAAGTAGTAATACTCTGCAGGGCTGCACACCATAAAATTGACAAAGTTGTTTCTCAAGTAGTAGGTGTTAAGACTGAAAAAAACCAGACACAGCGTGTGGCAGCAAAGCAAACAGCACACAGTATGGAAATGGCAGTAGCCACGGTTTTTAAAAACATGAAAAGCAGAATCACATATGAGATTTGTGAGACTACGGCAAGAATTCAAACCAAAAAGCATTTGGGGTTGGAGGGTAGAGGAGTGAAACACATCATCCTATTTCTTACCCTCATGCTACATGAAGATTTTCTAAAGAAAGGGAAACATGAAAAGTTTGTCTCAAAAATCCATGTCTTGTCAAACATAACAACACCACCTGATTTCTCAAGAGTCATCAAGTGCCTCAAGAGTTTCTAATGGCGCAAACTCAGGAGACAGGACTGAGTCCTTTCTAAAGGAGGCCATGCCTTCAGCAGGAGGCAAATGCAAACATGGTGAGGACAGAATACTTTGGAGTGCTTCATCCCTGCCACTTCCATGACCTATGTGTTCACAGCCACATGTTAGGCAGCTGTCATACCTCCTCTGCCCATCACCTGCACCAGGAGAAACAAGGAAGAGATGCCACCTTGAAAATTTGAACATGAGGGATGCAAAATGAGGAGAAGGGAGAGAAAAGACAAAGCAGGGAATGAAATAATGGGAGAAGCCAAGAAATGTAGAATTCAATGTTATGAGGAAAGTGCTCAAGAGAAGGAAAAAAACAGAGAGGAAGGTAGGAAAAGGAAATGGCTGGTTGTGAAACAGAGAGAAAGGGAAAGACTTTATAGGAAATGGAAGAAAGATGAAGAAAGGTTGTCAACACCTGAAGAGAGAAGGACAAGAAGAAATTTTAGAAGGATAGCAGAAGACGCTGTGGTTACAGGAAAAAAATCCAGCAGTTTGAGTAAACAGGGAAGTAAATAAGAGAAAATAATGGAATTTACATAAGAAAATATTACAACAACAACCATAATAATCCTCAATAAAATGCCTGCCAGGCCACATGCCATTATTAACATCATAGCTTAACCTGACCTTGTGTGTTGCAAAACCCACCCATCTGGAGAAAACCAGTGGCCCCAGCAAATGCAAACTCTTCTCTTCTTGCCATTATTTCTAACTGTGTCCCGACATGTCAGCCAGAGCTGTCCTGCCAAAATCAATGGTACCTTACCAGCATAAAACCCTCAGCACTAAGTGTCCCTTATCCTGGCAGAAGGTTTTGTTTGCTTGATGGTTTTGTTTAGTTGTTTTGTTGTTATTATCATGAATGATCCCCTCCCCACTGTAGCTAAACAATCTATCAAAACTTACAACAAACAACTGAGCTGCAAAATATTCTTACTGAAGATGAAGGAAGTACTCAACATAAGAACAAATTATTTTTGTCTTTTTACAAATATTATTATTTATTTTCAGTTTCTCACACGGTTGAATCAATGGAATTGATCAAGAATGCACACTTACAAAAGCAGTTTTTTGTAGGTTAAGTGAAATTAAATTCATGAACATGTATTTGTAAAAGCTATTTGGCTTCAGATCCCTTTTAGGATAAGCATCACTTCCCTTTTGCAGAAAGCTAGCAAGGCATAGGAGTAGAAGGCCTTTGTCAAGGTTAAGAAAAGAAAACCCTTTTTAATTTTAAACAAGACAAAGCACACAGACAACTAGAAGCCCACAGAAAAAATTCTCAGAGGAATATGGGGCAGACAGCCTCATCTCTGGGAATTGCAAGTGAATACAAAGCCCTACCCTATTACAAACCAGATGGATCTTTCAGCTGGAAAAGCTCTTTTCAGCTCTTGCTATCTACAGAATATGAAGTGCTTTGGTACAGTAGTTTTACTAATCAGCCAGATTATGTAGCAATGGATTACGCAGTATCTGACAGTGAAGTTGAGACATCCTGGACATGATGTATTCATGCTTCAGTAGACAACACGTAGCAATGAACAAAGACCTCATCTTCAAAAGTCATGCACCTGTTGACTTCCAGTAGAGGAGCACAGTCCTCTACATGGTCTCACCACAGACCTCTACAGGAACCACTAAACCCACTCAAAAGGTGTTAAAACAGTTTTACACTTTTTGAGGTTTAAACGCTCTGTATTATTCATCACATTCAAATGTTCAGTAAGAGATGTCAACACTAGGGGTCAATTTGTTGCTCCTACTGTCAAAATTTATCAATTTATATATTTCTCCTATAAATATATCAGAAACTCAAGAATTAAAAAGTTAGAAAACCCTCAGTTGTACTTAAAGGGGACCATACAGTTTGATGTATATGAACTCTTTTTTCCCAGACAGAAGTGTTATACTAAATATATTTAGCCTTACAAGTTTGATAACTTGTCAACAATACGCTGTTTTAAAAACAAGGAAACAAAAAAGCCAACCCAAAACATCCCCCCAGACCCCAAAGACTCACTATGCTGTGAAAGCAAGGTGAGCCTTCTCTAGGTCACAAGCAGGGAGAAGAAACATGTTGGCTTACAGACTGCTGCCCAAATTCTGTTGAACTCTGGTGGAAAAAAACTCACTTTCAGGACCTATCTACAGTGACCAAAACTGACCTGCTGGATACTCCAATGCCAAGACAATGTATTGAGAACTTAGTTTTCAAACCCAGCGTGCACATACTGCCACTCTTCAGAGACAAACTGTTTTCTTAGCCAAATGTGAGATCTTTTTCAAGGAAGACCAAGGTCAACTCTCTAACCTGAGGGAAATGATACTGGACAATTTTAAGCCCATGGCCCAAAGCAGATTGCTGCTACAACTTTTATCCATTTACACATAAACAAAAACTCATGTTGCTTTCTTCCAGAAAATCATGTTCATAGTCTTAAATTTCAAAAACTTTTTAAGAAAGAAACAATAACAATGGCCCTGCAGGAGACGCCAGGCCCAAAAAAAATTTCATGGCAAAATTTTAAGGTCTGGTTGGAAGCAGCAGAAAATAGGCTCTGAATGCCTAGGCAGGGTTAACCATAAGCATCACTAGCTTCACACTCCACAGCACAAGTTCATGAGGCAGCAATGTCTTGACCACATACTACTTTAACTCAGATTCTCATGATGTTCCTTTTTGTTGAGGAAATAAACTGACCTCTAAGAAATAAAAAGCTTAGCCACTTCTTTCAGCCTGGACTTACTAGTTTTGAATCAGTGATTTTACCTGGGTCAGATGATGTGGGACAAAACACAACCATTTCC